ACTTTATCCAAAGATTTTAGTTAATCTCCCACTAAAATTCATTAATTACCTAATTATCCACGTAACTAAGAATTATCTCAAATTACTTAAAATAGTACTCACTTTTAACAAACTTTATATACCTTACTATAATATATTTTACTATCATGGTCATGTGGTACCTTGTATGGCATTACTCCATAAATATCGGGTATTATAGCTCGGACCGTATTTTATTCCAAAATGTCAAACTTCGTCGAAACTCACTTTCTTCGATTCGCTTACCCTCTCACCGTCACGAATTTACTTATCACTTGTTTGAAATAGCATAATACTTGTAATCTCCAAATAATCTTGTCCTTGAACTGATGTCAATTATCTTACGACAAATTCAACGTACAATACTACAGGGTGTAACATCGTTGTATTTTAATACTGCGGGGCGTAACATCATCGTAATAAAATACTGCGGAGCGTAAAATCGACGTAATACTGCGGGACATAACACTATAGCACATATTTATCTAAGAAGAGGACGAAGAACCCCACTGGTCTCTAGAATACCTCTTGTACGGAGAATCCTCTGACATCTGTCTAAGAAACCCTGGGCATCCTCCGACTCTACCCCGCTGAAAGATGGAGGCTAAAGTCTACCAAACCCCTCTAGTCTTCGCTGCTCATAATCAGTCATAACAGGAACCACATGGGCCTGAGCAGCTGCCACCGGCTGGGCTAGTAATGGCCTCGGTGTTTGGAGTCCCTGCATCACATGCTCGGGTGTACGGGCGGCGGGAGTCTGAGTACCTCCCCGGGCCTGAGAAGTGGCTGTTGCGGCCGGAACAGAGACCGCCTGAGCAAGACTGGTGCATACGGTCAGAATCTGAGCTAAGGCCTCCTGAAGGCCTAGAATCACAATGGGCAGGGGCGGTGCTTGAGGTGGCGCCACATGCTCATTAACAACTGGGACCTGCTCCTGAACTGGGGCAACTGGTGGATCTGCAGGTGCTGCCCTAGCTGTTGTACGAGCTGCACATCTACCCCTACTGCGGCCTCTACTCCGACCTCGTCCTCTCGCAGCCCTGACTGGTGGTACTGGTGGCTGTCCATCCCGCCCAATAGTACGGGTCCTCACCATCTGTGAGAGAATAGAATAACAGAAGTTTAGTCACCAGAATCAATAGATTCACACGACAAGAATCAAGAATGTGAAGTTTCCTAAGAGTTCGGCAGACTCTCGAAGATAAGTATAGACGTCTCTGTACCGATCCGCAAGACTCCACTAAACCTGCTCATGACTCGTGAGACCAATGTAACCTAGGCTTTGATACCAGCTTGTCACGACCCAAAATAAACCGCCGTGATGGCGACATAGTGGAACTAGGCTAGCCACTACTCAAATTCTCAACGCAGTAAAAACTTGAAAATAATAACAGAAGCAATTAATATTTAAGAAAAGCCTTTTTTGAAACAAAAACAATTCGAAATACGATACAATCTATCCTAAAAACGGGGTGTCACAGAGGTCATGAACATCTATACCAGGATATAGTCTACTACAATGTCTAGGGAATAAGAACTGAAATACAGATAGAAATAAGGAAGGAGAGTCAAGGCCTGTGAACGCCTTGCAGCTACCTCGATAGTCTCTGAAGCCTGACTCCTCGATCAGCAGCCGTTGTGACCGGAGGCACCTGGATATGCACATGAGGTGCAGGGTGTAATGTGAATACAACCAACTCAGTAAGTAACAAGTCCAAGCTTTGGACTGAAAGGTAGTGACGAACTCAACCGGTACAGTTAAAAATAAAAATAACAGTGCTGAAACATACGCATGCTTTCAAGTTAAATAGATAGCTCAAAACAGTAAGATAGACTAGATCTGAATGGCAAGAAGAATGCAACTCGTTCTACTTCTACATGCAATGCACATGCTGTATGTGATGCACCATGCTGACAACCTCATGTTCTCGCACTCTCAAATGCCCAAATCACTCGGTACTTTGTATGGCCCATATCGCCCTGGGAAGATCCATCCCGGAATAAATACATCACTGACCATCAGTCACCCAGTACCGAGTAGGGCTAATCCAGCCCTTGCAGAAGATCCATCTCAAGGTATATAATGCTTCGGACAAGATCCATGTCTAGGGAAGATCCACCCCTCAAAAATATCAATCGCGCTCACTAAGGGTGTGTACAGACTCCGAATGGGCTCCTTCAGCCCAAGCACTATAAAAAAAATCAGTATAACCGTTGCGGCGTGCAGCCCGATCGATAACTGTCACTCATAATTAGGCTCTCGGCCTCACTTAGTCATCTATCTCTCCAGTCTTACTCACGGGCTCACACTGTCATAATAACTAGCCCGAAATAATGATATGATGCATCAACAAATAGCAACTGAGACTAAGATATGATATGAAATAAATGAATATGACTGAGTACGAAATATTAATGAAATCAGTAAGGTGACAGCAAGAAACGACCACTATGGGTCCCAACAGTACCGGTATAAATCCTAAACATGATATCTAGCATGCTTGACAGCTCAATTACTTTATCACACGATGAAAATACGGATATCAACAAGATAGAATCACTATACAGTGCCATGGAGTCAACCAAGTCACAATTCTCACAATGCACGCCCGCACGCCCGTCACTTGGCATGTGTGTCACCTCAATACCAATCACATAACACATAATTCGGGGTTTCGAACCCTCAGAACCAAGTTTGGATGTGTTACTTACCTCAATCTGGGCAAAACTCTACTGCAAAATGCCTTTGCCTCTCAAATCGGTCTCCAAACGTCCCGAATCTAGCCACAAGCAGTACAATACAATTAATATAGGCTAAAGGGATCTATTCCACAAGAAAAATACTAAATCATAGCCAAAATCCGAAATCGGCTCAAACCTGGCGGCCGGGCCCACGTCTCGAAATCCGACAAAAGTCATAAAACCCGAAATCCCATTCACACACGAGTCTAAGATACCAAATTTACCAAAATCCGAAACCAAATGGCCATTTAAATCCCCAAAATTCACTCTCCAAATCCCTAGCCTCAAACCCCCAAATTTCACTTCAACACCACACAATCCAGGTGGGAAAACAATGGGGTAACAAGATTATTGATAAAAAACGAGTACAAGATGCTTACCTCTATATCCCCCTCGAAAATCCTCTCCAAAATTGCCTAAGACCGAGTTCAAAATTTTGAAATGAAGCCAAAATCGCGAACCCTCGTTTTTAAACATTCTGCTCAGGCCTTTCGCACCTGCGGCTATATTTCCGCACCTGCGGAACCGCTTCTGTGGTAATTCCTCCGCTTCTGTAAAAACCACTTAAGTCCCCAGCTACCGCACTTGTGCTCCCTTATCTACTTCAGCGCAACAGGCCCGCATCTGTGGCCTCGCAGGTGTGGAAAGGACCTCGCACCTGATGCCACTGCCAAGCCTCCTCTCTTTCGCTTCTGCGGGCAACTTCCCACTTCTGCGGGCTCGCACCTGTGGTACCCACTCCGCAGGTGCGGTTACACCAGTAGCATCAACACTTCAGCTGCTTCACCAATTCAGAACCAAGTCCGTTGATCACTCGAAATCAACCCGAGGCCCCTGGGACCTTAACCAAACATACCAACAAGTCCTAAATCACCATACGAACTTAGTCGAACCCTCAAATCACCTCCAACAACATCAAAAACACAAATTACACACGGATTCAAGCCTAATGAACTTTGAAATTTCCAAATTCCACAAACGACGCCGGAACCAATCAAATCACGTCCGATTGACCTCAAATTTTGCACACAAGTCATAAATGACACCACGAACCTAATCCAATATCCGGAAATCCAATACGACGTCAATCTTTCCAAAATTCCAACTTTCGCCATTTCAAGTCTAATTCCAATACGGAACTCCAAATCACAATTCGGACGCGCTCTTAAGTCCAAAATAACCTAATGGAGCTAACAGAACCATCAAAATTTAAATCCGAGGTCGTTACACACAAGTCAACATCTGGTCAACTTTTCCAACTTAAGCTTTCAAATAAGTGACTATGTGTCTCAATTCACTCTGAAATTTCACCAGGCCTGAACAACCTAACCACGTAAGTCATATAACAGCTGTAGAATACAAAAAGGAGCAGTAAATGGGGAACGGGGCTACAACTCTCAAAACGACATGCCGGGTCGTTACAGGGCAAATTTTGGAAAAAAATGAATTCCTTCTTGATTATGTAAAAAGACACTTATTTTGGACCAAAATAAAAAGACCAAAAAGTCACTTATTATGGACCGGAGAAAGTACCAAATAAGAAAATAATAATACCAAAACCTAATACTGTTTACCTCGAAATACGAGTAATAATTAAACTTGTTTATGGTTTTAAAGATACATGATTTAATTCAATAATAATTAATAACCAAGAAATCAAACGTATAAATTAAATAAGTAAGTTGAATCAAACCAGTGCTTAAGCAAATCTTGACTTCGAGCTATGATGGCCTCGAGGTTGGTCACACTACTAGAAATTAGGCTTATGGCAACGGTTCAAGAACCGTTGCGATAGATGGCAACACCGTTGATACTAGGACCGTTCCATCAGGTCTCGTGCCAATAGGTCTATTGCAACGGTTTCATGGAACGGTTGTATAGCCGTTGCAATAGGATCACCTATTGCAACGGTTGTATAACCGTTACCATAAGCCTATCTATTGCAACGGTTATATTGTCTAATGGAACAGTTCCAAACCGTTGCAATATCAATTTATGCCACGAATTTTAAGCTATTTGCAACGGTTTGTAATGCTTTAGCAACGGTTCAGGATATATATTACAACGGTTAAAAAGAGCTATTGTAACGGTTTATGAAGGCTATTGCAACAGTTTATCAAGGCTAATGCAACGGTTTTGTAGAATCTAATATGTACCCTTCTATTTGGTTATATAAGTAGTTATTTTCCTATGCAATAAAATATAATAAGATTTATATAATCACAAAAGGAAACTATTCATCAAAAAAACCAAAATCTTAAATCTCCAACTAGTATTATCCATATAAGAAAGCAAAATATACAATGTTATTTAACAATTTAGGAGTTAGCATACATAAGTTAGCAAGAAGTTCGAAAATAAAGAATTCCTATAACATTTGAAGGCCTAGAAATGATCGACCAATACTCGTAAGAAAGTTCTTCAATCCTTTTGTCTATCCTTTGTTCATTTGCTTCACCTACAAAAGATGATAAAAAATTATTCAACCAAATTTTCACAGAAGAATATATTCTCAACATATATACAAAAATACTAATGTCAAAACACATCATTAGACAGAATGTACATTAAAGAGGCAGAATAATAAGATCTTCTCCATATTACATAGTATTACTTAGTAAGGCAAAATGTACATTAAGAAAATTTAGCTTAAATGTTCTACAGAAATGTGCACCACCACCCCAGAAGGAGATTCATATCTTGAAAATTATGGAAACAACTGAATTTACTAGAAGAATGAAGAGAAATCTCCTATATTCACCTTATACTCTGTCCTAGTATATACATAGTAGATGTGTTTTGATTTAACTTTATCTAACAAAAATTAGAAAATAACACTATCTGGTGCTTTCCTTTACCCAGATTACTGCTAATAGTTTTTACTAATCTAGGGCTAATATCTTTTGCCTCATAATTATCATTACCACCTCTGGACCTTTACATCTCTTTGTCCACTAATGATCGAATAAAATAATTTCACACAAGGTTAATTTATAATCAAGAACATATTTAGGAATTGCTAACTGAACTACAAGATACATATGAAAAATTCTAGAGTTATGTTGTTTCTAACTATCAGCTTTAGTATGAAACCTCTTTCAGAGAAAAAATTCATTTTCTGATCACAAAAATATAAACAAATGTATGGTCCTTCTTATTATTCATTTTAACTCCAAGGATCAATAATCCTCTAGCATATATATCTCAGACTTCACATCCCTTTCTTATGTTTTTATCGATCTTTCCATGGATGATTTGGAGTTTGACTATGTATGCAAAAGGTTAATCAGTTAATGATAGTGAAATTGAAGGAATTCGAAATATAAACATCTATTCTATGACATATAAACCGAGAAAGACCCATACAAACATCATGCACGCGAAATGCAAAAATTAAAGCATTTCTCCATTCTTTTAAGCAACTTGTTCCGATCCCCTCTGCATGTTTTAAGAAGACTGGTAACTAAATTCCAAACAAATTGATCTACATCATTCGAGACTTAACTAACAAATGATATGCATATAAGTTTTTAACCTTTAAGATATATACCAGCTTCGCACATTCATATCCAACAATTAATTTCAAATGAGATGATTTCTGCATTATTTCCCATTAAACTTAAATGCTCATTGAACTAGCACTACAAAAGCACCATGCAATCCACTCTATTTGAGATACAGTTCAAAAATTTTGGAGTTATTATAACTTTTAAACTATTTTCTACTTAATACGGCAAAATAGTCATGTCAAAAATAGGATGCCAAAATTGAGAAACTCTTCTGAACCATTAACGGATTCATTAATTAGTTGAACAAACTCTTGGTGATGCTCTTACCAGTCTTAAAGCAGAGGGTTTTTTCTTTTCAAGCTCCTGAAGCATATTCCACCTGTAATACACGAATAAGATTGTAAAATTTAAAAGGTTTTGAGAACGTGCGAAGAACGACAATAAAAAAGATAAAGTAAAGGAAACTTGTGATAGGTCCTATATATGGTGATAAAGAAGAATAAAGAAGTGTGCAACCTAATTTCCTTTATCCCAACGCAAACCACCAAAAGATATATAAATAGAGCAACATCGCACAAAATTCAAGTATATAAAGAATGTGTGTCCTTTAAATTTGTACCTCATTATCGATTCATATGGACAAATGTGTAAAGAGTGTCAATATAAATGAATTCTCTGAACTCAAAATATAATTATCACAAGAAGAATGAATTTCATGAACGAGGAGCCAAAATTCGTTAAAAATATCTTTGATTTATAGTAGCAGGATCGAGGACTTCCATAGCTAACATGTAAAAAATCATTACAATAACAACGTGATACAGAATGAAGGGGGTAAATCCTAACAATAAAAACACACATCCATAAATGGTTACAAGGAGAAAATCTTAGTTTGCAGAGAAAAATCTCTCTGCTGAAGAACTAGGTGCCAATATTTAAGGAGCTTAACAATAACAACTCTAAACTCTACGAAAATAAGATAAGAATCTTAATAACTAAAGAGGAACCTAATAAGAGCATCCTAAAAGATCAGGAGATGCATAATAAGACTCCTAAATAACCTCAAGAAAATAATAAAAGAAAAGCAGGTTGTCGATGAAAATAAACAAATAAATGAAGGAAAAAGTTTTTCACTTTTATCAAATTGTAATAGCTTGAATAAAATTCTAGTTATTGTGTTAAAACAAAATAGGGTGACAGTACAGTGAACAATAAAGTTATTCTTTTTTACCTCGGTAGAAAAGTTATCCGTTGTTAGATTGGAACACACTTCACTATGATTTTTCATTCATTGATGAACTTTCAGTTCAAAAGTTCAACTTATAGCTTTACATTTTATTGGAGAATCATCAATATAAAATATATATACACACATATACGATATAAATAATAAAAGAGGTCCATACCTGTTCTAAATCAAGCTTCATATATTCAAATATTTCTTCCATATAGCTTTTCTATTTGAAGCCAAATAAGCAGAAAAAAGGAAACAAAAGAAAAGTATTTTCAAGTACAATAGTGCAATACATCCTCTTATAGGCATTTTCACAAACAGATGTTATCCTACTAGGAAATGTTCAAATCACAGAAGTTATATCAAATATTAAACTTCACTCATCCTGCAAAAATAAATAACTTGATGATGATGGGCTTCCACCAAGGTATTATTTTTCTAAGGAACCAACAAGAGAAACCTTGAGTACATGCTCATAAAATAAATCAAAATCCTGCATTGCATAAAGAATCCCCAAATCTTCGAAACCCCCAAAAATAAAGCACACAAAGACCATAACAAACCAAGAATCCTAAAATTTCGGAAAACTTCACCATCGAAGAGCAAAAAGAGATTTTAGCTAATTACACTAACTACAAAAAGGAGAAACAAGTAGGAAAAAGCTATAGAGCGTTTTCAGACCTTGCATCTTCCAAGAGAGATCTAAGTTCTGCGTTTTCGATCTCTTTCTATAGCATCGATGAATAAATTTCATATTGTATCTTCACAGAGTTCTTCTATGAGTAACGGCGAGCGTCTCTTTTGTGATTTGTGTGAGTTGTCTGAGAAATTGGGGAGTGGCCTTTGAGTTGGAGAACTTAAAAAAGAGCGAATATTAAGAGGGAAATAAAACCCTAGGGGACGAAAATTTGAACCGTCACAATAGATAACTTTTTTCGGTCACCCGTACCTAAAATATATATTTGTTGCTACGGTTCCAACAACCGTCCAAATGTACCCCTATTGCAACGGTTATCACACTAATGCAATGGTTTAATTTCAGAAGTGTTTCTGTAAGCGCCACGCCCAAATGCAACGGTTAAAAGCGTTGCAATAGAGTTCTATAGCAACGGTTATATAGCCGTTACAATAGAAACCGTTCCGATAGGTCCAATTTCTAGTAGTGTCAACAAGAACAGTAAAGTAAAGACAACAAAGTTAAGAGACAATTCTGATGAATACTGATCAAGAAAGTAAGAGAGTATATTCTTTTGCCAATGATTGATGATGCGTTGCAAATGATTGGTGTCCCCTTTATATAGTAGGGGAACCCTAAATAAGGAACATTTCTATTTATAATAAGGAATCTTATTGGGACAGCTGTCTAACCGCCTAGTACAAATCCGTACTGACTCGTATAAATCTATTCCGGGATTTACGCCATGATCTTGGGGCCATCGCGAGAATCTAGCTCTTTCTCTTATAAAACCACAACAGTATTATCTCGAGGTTGGTCGTACTCGACTCCGGTGTTCATCGAGCAATCTGATCATCGAGTATAGCATTTTGCTCTCGGGCTCGAGCCCGGCCCATATCGAGTTTGTTCCTCGAGCGTACAAAATCGGGGATACATGATATTATGTATACAGATAGTCCTCGCGTTCCTTTGAATAAAATGATAAGAAATGACTTGAGCCTCGATGTTTCGGAATCCTTGATGATGACATCATTCTCGTGACGTAGGCGCTCGAAGTGACCGAAACATCCCGTCGGTTCGCTTTCCCAAAACATTAAATGCTTCTCCAGTGATGGTCGGCCACTAGCGCCATTGAACCGTCGCCGCTCACCTATAAATACAAGGTTTAATTTCGGAGAAAACTTTACTTCAATCTTCAAACCACTTCCAAACTTCTTTTATATCTCCCTCTCTTCATCTCTTCTCTCTCATTACCCGTTACTCCCGTTCTTTTTTGTGTCAGAAAATACCAAACTCCGCCTATATCCACTCCTTCTAACTCGAATCAATGGTGAAAACTTCCAAGACAGTTCCTCGAAAAGAGAAAAATTCCTCCTCCTCTTCTCGGCCGGCCAAACTTGTGGCGTCGGCCCTTCACGAGATTATTCTCGGCCCCTGCGTTATAAAGAAAGACTTCAACTTTGAAAATCCCCCCGCAATCCCTGGCCGATGCGAGCATGTATCCTGATAAATTAGTTCGATAACAAAGAAACACCTCAAGGCCGTGAAGAAAGACTTTGGCTGGCGGGACGAGGTCGTGGTATAGATCCCCGACCCTGAGGAGAGCATTACCACTCATGTGGAGGGGATCCTGAGTGTTTACACTTACCCCTTCACACTGGTCCCCTCGATCCGGTCGTGATCGACTTCTGCAAAAGATATCAATTCACCCTCTGCCGGATCTACCCCTCTTTCTTGGCGTATAGTGATTATGCTTCGTTACTTCTCTAGCAAGGCCGAGGGACTAGAGTTCATCCTCAATCACCTCATCCGATTGTATCGGCCTCAGCTTTTTCGAGGGTTGATCGAGCTCCAATGCTGATTGAGCAAATCCTTCTTCGCTAGCAATGACGAGGATAAGGACCGAGGCTGGATGAGCCGGTTCGTCCGAGTAAGGACCTCGAATGTCATACCTGAAGGAAAAATGTCGTTCCCAGAGAAATAGAACCCCAATCATAAGTGAAGTCCTTTTCCCAGTATCCTCTTATATTCCGTTTATACATTGCGTGATGCCTTTACCTTTTTTGCAGCAGTTGCTTGGATTCCCCATACGATCCTCGACCTCGAAGACTGAGTTCGAAAATTATTTGCGACATCCTCGTATGATGAGCGCAAATGGCGTGACTTGTCGAGGGGTAATTGGGAGGCCAAACACCATGGTTAGTTCTTCTCCCAGGTCTTTGATGCTTTCCCTTTTATTGGAGATGTCATCTTACTCATGCCTAACTTTCATTCATGCAGGCATTGGAGATGTCTCCGAAATAAGGCCAGCCCCACCCGGGGAATAGACCGAGTCCCCGATTCCAAAATCAGGGAAAGATAACAAGAGAAAAAGGGTTTCGAAACCCGTAGACCCCCAAGATAAGAGGGCCCCTACTCGAAGGCAAAGAAGGAAACTCATTCAAGTGGACATAGACTCAATCCACTAACTGAATGATGAAGAAGAAGACGAGGGTGAAGACTCGGCGCTGGTGACCCGATTCAGGAAGCCAGCTAAAGCCATCAAGCCCTCCGAATCGGAGACCCTGCCTAATGGTGAGGAGGCTCCAAAGAAAGACGCAGGCAAAGCCCCCGAATCGCCTGAGGTCGAGATTGTTCCACCACCTTTAACAAGTACACCAAAGAGGACAAGTACCGAGACCCCCGAGGCTGAACAGAGCACCCCGAGCGACTTGCTTGGGGCCGTGACAATAGGTCACTCTCCTCCTCTACCATCTTATTCTGAGGAAGCAATAAAGGCTCTGCGAACGCCCGACCTGAGCGGAGTCCCGGTGAAGAAGATCCTTTCCAAGATTGCTTTACTGGGGTCGATGATGCCGCCGAACTCAACGATGTATCTACCCTCTTCGAAGAGGCTCATTGTCTTTTCTCTTGGGTAAGCATTATCTCTTATTGTTGCAATTTTTTCTTCTCCTTTTACACTAACTGACATCTCTTTTTATGTGCAGGCCATTACCAGGTTTAGGGCTGAGCTAATCCAATGTGAGGCTGAGCTCAAGAAATCCTCAGATGAAGGGAAGGCCGTGAGGCTCCTTTGCAGCCAAAAGGAGGAGGAGCTCAAGGACCTTCGGGCAGACTTGGCCAAAGTTCGTTAAAGTAAGACCGAGCTAGACAAGCAGGTAACCATCATTTTGCAAGAGTATGGTCTACTTGACCCAACCGTGGAGGCTAACACTTCAGTGTCTCAGCTGCAGCAAAAATTGGAGATAATCGGGCAGCTTCTAGGGGAGGTCAATCAAGTTAAGGCCGACTGCAACCAGTGGAAGGAAAACATGGATCGGCTTGCTGCTGAGAAAGAGGCTACTCTAGCCAAATTGGACTCGGCCGAGACCGAGCTCCGGGGTGCCAACGTGAAAAATTTGGCCCAGGCCAAGAAGATCGATGAGCTCGAGGCCAAACTTGCCGCAACCGGGGCTGAGGTTGCTGAAGCCAGGGTCGAGATCGAGAAGACGAAGACCACGGTTGATAAGACCGTTGCTGTGCACCTAAAGGATGCTGGGGCTGCTCAAATCGAACAAAGGGAGGCCTCCAACCGGGAGAAACAGATCAGTGATTTGGCAAAAGCATTTGAAGCCAATGCCAAGTTCCTCGTCTCCTCCGATGACGATGATGATGCCGAAGGCAGCCAAAGTGGGTTCGAAAATAAAGCTGGTGTAACGACCCGGCCGGTCATTTTTAGAATTTACGCCCCGATCCCCTATTAACTTCTTTTCCCCGTATTTATTTCTGCTATTTTGAATTGCCAGGATGTTCGGTTTTGAGTTTCGGAGAGTTTTGGGGCACTTAGTCCCTAAATGAGAGCTTAAGTGTTGAAAATTTGACCGTAGTTGGAACAGCGTGAAGACGGCCTCGGAATGGAATTTTGATGGTTCCGTTAGCTCCGTTAGGTGATTTCGGGCTTAGGGGCGTGATCGGATTGTGTTTTGGAGGTCCGTAGCTAATTTAGGCTTGAAATGCCGAAAGTTGGATTTTTGAAGTTTCCGATTTGATAGTGAGATTTTGATCCGAGGGTCGGAATGGAATTCCGGAAGTTGGAGTAGCTCCGTAGTGTTGAATGTGATGTGTGTGCAGAATTTGAGGTCATTCGGACGAGGTTTGGTAGACTTTTTGATCGAAAGCATAAATTTTGAGTTTTTAAAGTTCTTAGGCTTGAATCCGATGTTAAATTGGTGTTTCGATGTTGTTTTGGGTGTTTTAAGGATTGGTATAAGTTTGGACAGTGGTACTAGACTTGTTTGTGCTTTTGGTTGAGGTCCTGGGGGCCTCAGGATGGTTTCGGAAGGTTGCCGAAAGATTGGGGAGTTGGTTTGTTCAGCTCCAATTGCTGAACTTCTGTCATAACCGCACCTGCGGATTGGGGACCGCAGGTGCGTGATCGCAGATGCGGCGAAGTGCTTGGGAGCCAGTTTCCGCAGGTGCGGTGGTATGGGCGCACCTGCGAGACCGCAGGTGCGGTCGAAGAAGCGAAGATGCGGCCCAGTGCTTTTAGTGGAATGTCGCAGATGTGACCTTGTCCTCGCAGATGCGGTCCTAGGGCGCAGAGGCGGAATAATTGGGCAGAATCGAGGATTTTGTTCAAAACTTGGAAAAATCATTCTGGAGCTCCGGGTAGGGCGATTTCATGAGGTTTTTAAAGAGAAGATCATTGGGTAACGATTCCTTATTCCTTTCTAGTTATATTCCATTAATCTTATCTTAGTTTTATCATTTAAATTCGGATTTAGAGATGAAAATTGAGAAAAATCGGAAGAAGGTTCTTAGACCTAGAATTCGAATTTTGATGGGGAATTTGACCTTAGATTTGGATAATTTTGGTATGAATGAACTCGTGAGAGCATGAGGATTCGGAAGATATAAATTTTACCCGATTCCGAGATGTGGGCCCGAGGGGCGTTTTGGTCATTTTACCTAATTCCGCGTATTGGCTTAGAATTTATTTGTTGAATCAGTTACTTGAAGTATTATTTACATTATGCAATTGAATTGAATAGATTTGGGCCATTTGGAGTCGAATACTCATGGCAAGAACGTGATTTCAGGTTGATTTTGAGCTGGTTCGAGGTAAGTGGCTTGCCTAACCTTGTGTCGGGGACCTTCCCCTTAGGATTGGTATATTTGTTAATTGAAATGCCTTTTGCGTAAGGTGACGAGTGCATACTTGTGCTAATTGTTGAAAAATCTGGTTTCCATTAAGTACTTAGAAT